TCCCACTCACACAAAAACTCACACACAATGCCCCTACCGCCCACGTGCACGCCTCCAACACGTCACACACATACTGGGGCACTCAATGCCAACCTCACAAGCGCCAGAGACACATGCACTTCGCGTCGCACACCTAGCGCACACATCCTCCCCGGCACGCCACACACTCACATCTCCATCGACTGCATGCCCACTCGGCCCGCACCCCCTTCAGGTACACAACCCACTGACACCCTTCTGTGTCAACGCCACCGGCATTGGGCCCCTCCCACACATACACATAAGTGCTCCCCCCACCTCCATTCACACACAGGCTCACTCTGCCCCTAAAAACCCACCAGGGATGCCCACAGACGCACCTGCACAGCCTGCGCCTATTCCATAGGGAGACATGCACTAAACCCACTCACCATACAAGGGCCAGGCACACGCTGCCCGCAAATACACTCCCTGCCCTCTCACATTCTCTTGTTGCCCCCTACACCCCCAACCTCCCAGAGCTCTAACATTATATCCTGAGGCTGAGGGTGCTGCTCCCTGTGTGGGCTCAGGGAATGTGCCTTAACCCTTCCCCAGGGCACCTTGCCCATTAGCTCTAGCCAGAGGGTCCATCAGCAGTAGACACTAAGCTCTGCGCTTGCACACACACCCCCATTGGAGAAAGGCAGGAAGCCAGCTCTGGCTAAGCCCTCCTCCCTTTCCTAGCTCTCTCTTCCCAACTGCCTCCCCTCAGCAGGTGTGTGATCACCTGTCTCCTGTTTCTGTCTCCCAGTGGCAGGTCACAGCAAGATGCTACTCCCCCCACCCCGCCCCCACCACCACTACTGTGACCCAAACGGAGGCACAATACACACAGCTTGTGGTGGCAGCACCGGCACTCCCACCCATGCTGACTGTGGATCTTACACCTTAGACCCAAATTCTAGTCAGCGGCCAGGGAAGAGAGGGGGGCGCTCCCAATCCAGTGGGGGGGAGGGAGGGAGAGTCTGAAGTGCTGGCCCATTGGCTGAAGGCCAGGGAGAACCAAGTCAAGGAGCCACTCCCCCCCACCCCACTATCATCAATAAGTTAATAGAGCTCCTCTGTGCCTCCCCCCTGCCCCCCATCCCACATGCACTGGCCCCAGGTAAAGGCTTTCCTGAAGAGTGGGCAATGTGGGAGGTATTTGGTGGAGAACAGGGTCTAAGGATGGCGAGGCAGCCAATCTAAGAGGCAGAAGGAAGGGAGAGGAGTGGGAGAACGAACAGTGGTGTGGAGAGGCCTAGGGACAGAGGGGTGGAGAGGGAATGGTGGGGAGCCTGAGGGCACACCTTGAGGGAAAACAGAAGCCCTGGGGGCTGTTGAGCAGCATGGAGGGAGGGAGAAGGAAGAGAGGAGAAAGACTGGGGTGAGGCCCTTGGCCTGGGTCAGCCAGG